CACTTTTACAAATTATCGTTTTATTATTATTTTTTTTTTTTTTAAGAATGTACTATAAAATGTAAATTTTTGCAAAGAAAATATTGATTAGTAAATCTTCTATTTTTACAGAGTTTATTTATTTAATGATTATTTTCATATCACGAGGTCGTACCAGCATAAAACGAGTCATGTTGTAACAAAGAAAAGTTTATGATTAAAAAAAAAATATATATATATTGATAATGAGTATTCACTGTAATGATAATAATACAGTGTCTTAAATTCATTAACCTCGTATATAATATACAGAATGTGGGGATAAGAAAAATCTTAAAATGAATAAATCATCATTCGTAAGATTAATCACGTGATTGTTATTTGTTCATGTTAAAAAATTAACGAGGACGTTGATTTTGTATTAAAATTGCATACACCCTTTGTCATTTTATTTTTCCATCAGTGTAAGGTTGCAAAAAGAGAAAAAGGTTGTTAATGAAATGGCGTACCAAGTAGTAAAAGGAGTTTCAACTCTCGATGATTCACACAAGCATCAGGTTTTGAAAAACTTCTTCTTTCTTAAAGTTCCTCTTGCTTTTTCTTTTGGTTCTTCTTTTACTAAGTTTTTTTTTTTTTTTTGTTCTTTCTACTTATACTCACTTCTGTTATAATCATAATAATAATAATAATCATCATAATAATAGAGATGTATTATAGAAGAAGAAAACTTTTTCTCGCAAAATGTTTTGTCAAAGATTCCTTTTTCTTCTTCTATCAAAATGCATTTCGTTTTCACTAACAAACACTTGAAGAAAGTCTTTCGTCTTATTTTAAGGATTATCAAGATTTGTCAACTCGTTTTTATTGCAACGAGAACGAAACGGAAGAAATTATTTTCGAATTATGATAACGTCGTTCTTCTGTAAAATAATAATAGAAAAAAAATGTTAACATTGTTTTCTATTATTATTATTTTAATAATAATAGTTAAAATCATAATTGTGATATCTAAATATTAGTTGGAATCATAAATAACTTCCGATGTGTCTATGTAGAATCTATTTTTCGTATTTACCTATTATAAGTCACCGAAACAAACGGATTTTTGATATTACTGTATAGATAAGGATTCAGTTAATCTTCTGTCAACTTTTTGATGTAGTCAATGTTACATTTAAAGGTTTTTCATAACCACTAAAATTGGATAGTAAAAAGTGCATATTCGACATGTAATGCTTTAGGAATTGAAACAAGACAATGGCACTAAAGTGGCAGCTGAAAAAATATGCGGCGTATACGGTGAAGAATTGATAACTGATAAGGCAGTCAGAAATTGGTTTGTAAAATTCCGTTTTGGAGATACAATCTTAAAAGATGAACCGAGTGTAGGATGTATTTCCGACTTTGATAAACCTTTTAAAGGTAATATTGGAACAAAATCCAATTATATACGTTGAACAATTGCAAAGAGTGCAAAAAAAAAAACACCATGAAAAGTGTCGTACACTTATTAGTGATAGAAACACCATTCTTTGTCTCATAAAAAACGTAAAATTATTTATAATTCGACCTAATAATTTTGATAATCAGAAATCCTGTGATCGAACAGGATGAAATTTAATGAATGAGTTAAAAAAAAAAAGAAGAAAAAATTGAATGATCGAGGACAACGAATTTTTGTGAAATACCAAAAGTACCTACCCCCAATATCGATCTTACCTTTTCTCACCAATATAGGAAAATCTAATCAGTAGAAATAGTAGGAAGGTTCCTTTTCAAATCGATCGATCGAAGGTTCCTTCTTAATTAAAAGCCATTGTTCTCTCGGTAGGATGTCAATTTTCCGAGGACGAGAACTAATCACGGGTTGTACCCCTTTCCATGATTCTAATCCATCCCTTATTGTGTTCTTTATTTTTTTTTTCTTATCATTAACATCGAGAAACTTGTGTAAATTTATTTGAAACCAAAAAAAAAAAAAAAGAGAAAAGGATTATTGGAAAAGGAAAAAGAAATAGAGATCACGATGGGTTTTAGTGGCATAACGACGGAAAAGGGAAGAAGATTCAGGAAGGTCGATAGTCCCTCGAGACACAAAGAGCTCGAATATTTGATAGAGTTGCGCGCGCCTTGTACAATGTTTTCAGCATTTTAACCGGCACGCAACTGCACGCACAGTTTCAGTTGACGACGTGCGATAGTCGGTACAAGGTGTCCTGGATGAAACCACCTTATCCACCTTCTCAATTATCATCCACGACGAATGGCAACACACCGATCTAAGATCACAGGTGAGAATATTCCTACTTCTTTTTTTCATTTTTATTTTGATTGTGATATGAACTTTCACAAATTTTCATTTACGTTCAAATGTTAGAAATGTTAAATAATTTTTTTCCGTTCTTTTTTTATTATCATTATTATTATTATTATAAGTTTGAAAAATAGCATTGATAAAAATATAATAATGACGATGATTGTGTTAATTTTTCTTTTTTTTTTTTTGTACTGGCTACGTCGAAAATGAATGTCAAACAAATTGTCGACACTTCGTGCACGTGATATTTACGAGAGAACAAAGGTCTCTACGGACATGGTTAGGTGTATATATTTCTATTGCATTCTTAAGTTTAATGTTGTCGAACCATTCACGGTGCATCACGCATTTTATCAGGACACGTTATGTGAATAGAATAATTACTTAAGTGATATGTTTAACCTACGGGGAAAAAAAGTGAAGGACGCGACTGCACTTAGAATTAAACAAACAAATCGTTAAAGGGTAACGTTACTTTTTATTCAAATTAATTATTCAAATAGTTTGTTTTATTTCGTCATACGTTTTTTTTTTTTTTTATAAAGAATAATTCTCTTTCTCTTTCTCTTTGTAAACAAAACATTTTATCAGATCGAGTCATAAGTAATTTCCGATGCGACTATGTAAAATCTATTTTTCGTATTTACCTATTATAAGTCACTGAAACAAACGGATTTTTGATATCACTGTATAGGTGAGAATTCAGTTAGTCTTCTGTTAACTTTTTTATGCAGTCAATGTTACACTTAACCGTTTTTCCTTAACCACTGAAATCGATAGTAACAACTGCATATTCGACATGTAATGCTTTAGGAATTGAAACAAGGCAATAGCACTAAGGTGACAGCTGCAAAAATATGCAGCGTATACGGTGAAGGATTGATAACTGATAAAGCGGTCAGAAATTGGTTTGTAAAATTCCGTTCTGTAGATACGATCTTAAAAGATTAACCGAGTGTAGGACGTATTTCCGAGTTTGATGAACCTTTTCAAGGTAATATTGGAACAAAATCCAATAGATACGTTGAACAATTGCAAAAAGTGCAAAAAAAAACTGCATGAAAGGTGTCTTGCATTTATTAGTCACAAAAACGCCATTCTTTGTTTCATAAAAAACGAAAGTTATTTATCACTCGACTTCAATATTTTCAATCATTATTTAACTGTACAATTACAAAAAATTCGATTAAAAACATTCGAATTTGTTTTGTTTTCAGTAAAGATTAGATGAATTTAGTTGAATAATATTGTAGCAATAACTATGTAAGAAAACAATCAAGCGTGACTATAGAAATATCTTCATAGATTTAGCAAGTAACACGAGTGAAAGGCATAACCTGAATTTTCTATCGCTACGATAGTAACGTTTAAACGTTTGTATAGCAAAACCTTTTCTAAGTGATTTAAATTTATCACAGCTACATACTCTAACAACAATAAATTATATTTATTATAATTCACCAATCGAAATTTCAAAAAAAAAAAAAAAAAAATCGTATAGAAAATAAAAAAAACTTTAAGCAAGAAAATACAAAGTATAAAGTTCAGTATCTTGTATTATTTTGTACTTCGTTATAAAAGGAAACAACAGCAGCAACAAGAAAAAACAAATTCAAATAATAAAATGAAACAGTTAAAAGGAGAGTTTAAGTATTATAAGACAAAAACCAAAAAATAAAAAAAAGGAAAAGAAAAAAAAAAAGTTGGTCCAAGCCGCGCCACAGTTTTTCAAACTTTATGATTGGAAAAACGTTGGTTGCTTGGGTCACCGTCACGAAACGATCAACTTTTTCCATTAGTCTGTTACACGCGGATAGAACCTAAGTGAGAAGATATAGGCTAACCTTAGTGTGAGGAAGAATGAAAGAGTGAGAGAGAGAGAGAGAGAGAGAGAGAGAGGGAATGAGTAAGAGAGTGTGAGAACGAGTGAGAATGAGTGTGAGAGATAGCTCCATCTAGACCAAAGGATAGCTCATAAGGGGATCATCCTGGAATTGCATCTCGTGCGATTAAGGTCATAGAAGCGCTTTAAACCTCCATTCGCTCCCTTATCTCGTTCGGTCCTTAACTTTAGCACTGTCGGCAAAACTTTTGCGGAAGTGCACCGGTGACTTATAAATAAATCGATATAATATAATATAGGAGATATATATATACGCATGTAATATATTTATCTACGATATTATCTTTCATACTTAATTAAAAAAAAAAAAAAAAAAAAAAANAACTTTTGCGGAAGTGCACCGGTGACTTATAAATAAATCGATATAATATAATATAGGAGATATATATATACGCATGTAATATATTTATCTACGATCTATACAAAATTCGTTCCTTAAAAAAAAAAAAAAAAACAAGTAAATAATTAATATACATATTTTTTTTTACATATTTATTTTATAAATTTCTATGTTACAATTTATTACATATTTCTTATATTATTTCTTAATTAAAAATTATTTTTTTTTTTTTTTTGAAAAATCAAAATTATAGAATAATTATTTTCCTTATATATCAATAGTAAAAATATATTTATTATATTTATGTGTAAAGATATATTATATATATATATAATGTACATATATTATATTCTTTATATATATTCCTACCTTATATATCAATAGTAAAAATATATTATTATATTTATGTATAGAAATATATTATATAATGTACATATATATATTATTTATATATTTCTACATATCATTATAGAATTTATTTAAAAAAAAAATGAATTATTATATAAAAACAGAAACAATAGTGGGTCTTAAATCTTGATATGACAAAGACGATAAAATCGGTCCTTTTGCAAGTCGCATAACCGCTACTACGGCCATAACTTGCAATTAGATAATTATATTTCTTATGTTTACATAGGAGAGGAAAATAAACGATTGCTATGTGGTCGTAATCATATATATATATATATAAAAACCAGTTTGAATTACTGCTAGATAAAAGGCACACGATGGTTATTTTTATTATCTATCTTCTAATGATCGCGTTGGCGTCAATTGCGTTTGTTTACCTGTACCGTGTATTTCATTGTCGAACGATGTAACATAAGAATCAAAATGACTTTAACGAATGAAAAACATCATTCTTAAGTGGAGAGAAATTATTTCAGTATAAGATATGAATTGCATTTATACATTGTATTAAAAGAAAATTATTTTCCATTGAAAAAATAAAACATGAGAGAGAGAGAGAGAGAGAGAGAGAGAGAGGAGGAATGATTTAAAAAAAAAAAACAACAAATTAAATCTACGTGTATGTTATGAATAAGAACGTTAAGTTTCATCCAATTTATCCTTTTCTTCCCTATTATTAACATGATCTAAAGTAACGTCATTAGTATTAACAGATTCGTGAGTTCTTCTTCCAAAGCAAGTGGTAAAACACGTATCGTGTTTACCAAAATTCTCGCCGTCCTCGATAGTTTCCGGCATAGGTTGATTTACAGTTTCTGGCAAGTAAAGAGACAGGAAACCAGAAGCCAAGGCTACCATACCAAATAACGTTGCTGGTACCTTTGGATCGAGGAAGTCTAAGAGCATGATCAAAGGTGTTAGGGCACCGCTGAGACGAGCGCACATTGAACCAATACCAAGGGCCGTGTTCCTCACCACCGTGGGAAATAATTCGGCTGTGTAATTGTAGATCACTGCGAAGGATGCAGCAATGCAGGCTTTGCCAAACAATACAATAATAACAGTTAGAGTTGCTCCTATATCGTCATCCTTGGGGATAAATGTTGCACATATGCAGCATAAGCCACCGATTAACATGAACGTGCTAACTAGACACCTTCTACCAGTACGATCCATCACGAATATCAAAAATATATAAGATGGTATTTCGACTAGACCACTCAGGAATAACATCAAGTATGGATTACCAACGAGATTTCCAGAATTCAATGATAATCCGTAATAAACGATCGAATTGGCAAACCAATTGAGACATACGTTCAAAGTCTTTTTTCGAAGATTAGGTGTTTTCAATAAGTCGATTCCACTATGAGTTTGATCCTCTTCAGTTCTCTTTTTTATCTGCGATCTCGCGAGTAATTTTCCGCTATTTAAGTTGACGTTATTTCCGTTCATCTTTAGGGCCCTCTTAACGATCTCCACTGCTTCTTTAGTTCGGCCTTGAGCCCATAACCATCTGGGGGATTCGTCCATGAGCCACCAGTGTCCTAACATTAATGCACTGTGGAGTCCGTAAATGATTTGCAGCCATGTTCGATCCTTGATTAAAGCACCCCAAGCAGCGACCAACATAAAACCGGTTGCGAAAGCTAATTGGAACATTATACCGCACATGGTCCTCTTTGATGCTCCCACGAGTTCCATAGTCAATACGAATCCGGTTATGTAAGATCCAGCTGATCCAAAGACACCGTAGAAAAATCTCACTACAAGGAATGTGTAATACTCGTTGACGAATGCGACCATGGTACCGAGTATCAATTGCAATACCGCGGATACATAAAAAATGATCTTTCTTCCGTATTTATCGGCAAGACTGCCCAAGGTCACTGCTCCAACGAACACACCAAACATATATGACGATTGTGCAACTGCTCCCATCCACCTGCGCGAACACACGAAATTCCATTCCATACCGCGTGACGATTTGAAATATTCCGTGTCATATGTCCAAGCTTCACACTTTTGTGTTACATTAAATTCGTCCAAGTAATGACACGTTGACAATTCTTTTGGTTCCATGATCATGTTGGTTACATTACCTTCAACCAATGATTCATCAAACGTGTCAATGAGAGTTGATTTGATTATTGGTACAACACATTTGTAAGCAGGTACAGCTGCAACTGTCAATAACGTTATCATATGCAATCCGGCAGTCAATGCACCAACGATGTGTAAAGAAAATTGCCAGAATTGATATTTCCCAAATTCTCCCAGGTGTCCCATGAGTTCTTCCAAATCATTATCGACGCTCGCCATCTTGTCGTCAGTGAAATCGAAAGTATGCGAATCGACAATCCCGTAAAGGTGTTTCGGAACCGCTTCGTTCTACTGTCTACGTATAACTAACCTGTTTGACGAACTCAAGACTGTTCACTGGAGATATCTATCTTTCTTCTTTTTTCTAAATACAGAAAGGATTGTCGTCCTTGCGATACACGTGTCACGTGTATGTGTGATGTTTCTTTTTTTTTCGAATATATTTTTTCTACAATGGAAAAAAAATTTAACAGAATAATATTAATGTAAGATGTGATAGGTACTAATTTTTCCTTGTACAATTTATCAATTGAATTGTTATTATTTTGATATATTGAAAATTGTATATGAATGAAGTTAATTTTTATATTTTTACAAATAAATTTTATGGTTAACGTAAATCAACTTACTTGATGTAATTCCAAAAATAGAAAACGAAACGATAATAGTACGTTCAGTAAAGTTGAGTATCAGTGTTGAATTCTGAAAAGAAAAGAACAAAATAATTAATATTAGTGCGTAACTCTAATACGAATATTTCATTTCTATTTTAAATATTTAAACGAAAAAAAAAAAAAAAAGAAAGAAAGCAAAAAAACGAAACAAATTTAAATGACACATGATGATGATTGAGAAATATCCGTACAATGAGAATATTTATTCGAAAGAAAAGAATTGAATAAGCGATGTAAATTGATTTTCTAAGGTTTTGCATTTGTATGCGTCTAAGGAAGTCAATTATCGATACGATATCTAAACGTCTTTTACAATACAATTCACGCTATCTTCAAGGTCAATCGTTTTTTGCATAGGTCAGAATAACATTATTGTGAATTGATGAACGTGGAGTCAACAATGTTGTACATTAACATATGTCCATTTGCAAGGTGTTCAAATATTCTTATCTGTTTCGATTATATTTCAAAAAAAAAAAAACAACTTGTAAACGATGCATTATAAATAAATTAAAGTACATGAACAATTAAAAATTGTTCGTATTATACTGTTCATTTTTTTAATACATTCAAATACAAATTAAAACTTTCTGAATTATCGTCATTTTTGTTTCACGTTTTACGCAAAAGAGAAGGGAATGAAAAAAAAAAAAAAAAACTTTGCAATGTTTCATTATCATTTCGTAATATTGAAAATAACTCGTCTTACACGTAATGACGAGCATTAATTTATTATAACATAGTTCGTGACACCGTATAGAAATGACGTCAATGAATTATTAAAATAAATTATCCATTCGATAAAATATTTTCTATTCTGAAAATGATTGTATTGTATTTAATTTTAAATCGAGTCACTTCGCACTATTAAATTATTCATAAAAATAAAGAAAATAAAAAACAATTCTTATTCGTTTGAATGTCGCAAAAAAAAATCAGTGAAACCGGTTTTCTCATTTGATCTCATACATTTATTCGTTCGATTAAAACATTTTCCTTGTATACTACAACACTTAGTATTCCTGTCAAACGCGTATGCATTAGCAGAGTAGGTACCTAACTCCGATGCAAGTGGCGAGTATGTCTACTACGTCGACGAGGTTTACTACGATCCGTTACTCCGTGGAAGAACGAACGGATGTACGTTTACTGATCAACGTATTTCTCAAGAGTCTGTAGCAGCAAAACTGGCTTCAAATGTCAATGAACTTATGTTAGTAAAGAGAAGTGGAAAATGTGTGACGTATGCTGACTCGTATGCTGACCTCTTTCTTCCTTTCTGTTATTTTTTTTTTTTATCTTATACCGTAAATAACTATGTAGTAGTTATACATATTTCTCCATTGTTCCGGCCAGTAATTGGTTGAACAATGATAATTCCGTTTGTTATGTTACGCTCATATACATTTTTAACTTATTCGAACCCACACACACACATACATATATATACACACAAATGTAGTTGTTATTAGATAAATATGTTAAACGAGCTGCGAAACAACTAATCGTCTTAAATAACTCGAATGGGCCGGGAAGCTCATCTCAATTATTAACATCTTACAAAATTCGTCCTTGACATTAGATATAAATTATCGTGATCCTTAGAGAGTGAGAGAGAGAGAGAGAGAGAAAGAAAGAGAGAGAGGGAAAGCTCTTATCAAGTTGACGATGCACGTGCCTGCCGTCAGTTTCATCAACATAAAACGTTCCGAGCAACGAAATGACTATTGACAGATAACTCGTGTATTCGAGGGGTGGGACGTCAGGTATACGAGTGTGTTCAGTGATTACGTTACTCTATATAGGATTCAAGTATGAGCACGTGCTGTTTAAATATCATTTATCGTATGATAATTTTGAAATTAAAGTAGAATCATTTTTGACTAAATATTGTCAGAAATTAAAATTCAAAATGTACAAATATTTGATAATTGTATTAATTTTATACACCATTGATACGAGTTCTCATATTATTGAATAATTTATTACCGAGATTCTCGTAAATTATCGGTCAACAATAATTAATGTTGCAAGGTTTTAATATGACCAATGTACAATATAATTATAATTGAAAATTGTGTGTAATTTCTTGTTATAGAATAATACTAAATTTGGTTACTCGAATCCAATGTACAAAATTATTGAACGATAGTTAAAAAAAAAAAAAAAAAAA